GGCCTTCAGAAGAGGTCTGCATTTAGGGAGACAGAGCCCTCAGGCACAGTGGGGTCATCCATCCTACCTGAGGTCAGACAGCCAGGCAATTACACAGGCAGCAACCCCAGCCCCCAAGGCATCTAGAATTCCAGACCAGCCCTACCCGTCCCTCTGCCAGACGGGACTGTTCAGAGGCAGCTCAAGCCTGAATGAGCCCCAGGCAAGGAGGCAGCAGTCTGTGTGGCCTGTCAGGAGACAGACTTCTGACTCCCGGCCAGGCAGGGGGATGGACCGCCTGACCCTCAGCTTCAGCCTGAGTCCGTCTGGCAGGCCCTGCGGTGAACATTCCAGAGATGGGCAAAACAAGTGTTTCTCCCGAGAAGGTGAGGCCGGTGGAGCCAGAGCTCTTTGGGGGGTGGCGGTGTAGTGCTGCGTGCTCTGGGTCCCGAGTTGCGAGTTAGGATCCTGTGCGTGTGGGACGCCGGAAGGGGACTCCACGTGGTAATGGTGGGGATTTGTAAGCGTTGTGTTACCCCATTGTACCAGTAGATGGTGGCAGAGCATCTGGAGCGCGAGCTGCCCCTGGGCTGTCCCAGGAAACATCATTCATTTACCCAGTCAGCAGGCCTTCTTCAAACGTCCTGTGCCCGGGCGCGTTGTGCCTGATACGAGAGACACAGTGAGCTTTGAGACACGCTTTCGGGTCTCCAGGAGCTCCTAGACTAGGTGTGTGGGGACAGGGAACATGTAATTCCAACCAGAATGATGTGTGTCAGCACCCCGTGGGGACCCCGAGGAGGGCCACCTAACCCAGCCTCGTTAGGGGGGTGCTTTCAAGGAAACAGTGGTCAGGGATCTTGGAACATGAGAGAGAGGTAACCGAGCAGAGAAGGAGAGAAGAGCACAGGCTCAGCTGCACAAAAGCACAGGAATCACAGAAAGTTGAATGTGTCCAAGAGGTGGGCAGAAAACCAGAGAAGAAATGGGTCGTAGGTCAACAGGGTCTAGATCACGAAGGAGCTAGACTGAATCCTGAAACTCTTAAAGCACAAGATCTAACTCACCATTGCTGCTTGCTTAGAGGCTCTGTGTGACTTCGAACCTGTGGGAGCTGCTCCCAGCCTTCGCTCTTGATCACTGGGGTCAGTACAACAGGAGGAGGGATGTGAAGGCCTGCAGGCCTTCTGTATCAATGTCGCCTATTTGTTATCATCACCAATCTCTCACCTCACTGAGGGGGCAGATCAAAGTGAGGCAGACTGTAATTCCATTCTGTAACCCCCAAGAGGATAGGATTATGTTTGTTTGTGGGTCCCTGCACACGTCACCCATAGCCACAGTATAAACACGCGGTAGTTCTTTGTTTTCATTGTTGATTCTGCTTTAGGCCCTGGGCTGTATACTTTGGAGCTTACTCTGTGCCAGGAACCATTCTAAGTGCTTTGTACGTCGTGCCACATTTAATCCTCACAACACCCCATGGGATAGTTACTGTGATTATCCCCACTTCCCAGACGTGGAAACTGAGGCACACAGAGGTTGAGTGAGTTTTGCGGGGTCTCAGAAAAAAAAGAGTGAGGGGTGGCGCTGGGATTGCATCCAGGTGGTCTGGCCCTGAGTCCACCCTCTCTACTTACTGTCCTTTGAGTACAGGATCAAGTGAATTTCTCACCACACCTTGGCTGGCAGATGTTATCACCCCTTAACAAGTGACCTGGAGGGAACTATGACCTGGAGGGATTAAGTACCTTGTCTTAGAACATGCAGTGAGTGAGTCGTAGAACTAAGATTTTGCCCAAGCTTCTGTGATTTGAGATCCATGATTTTTCTAGTATACCGGTGATTTCATTCATTAGTTACCATCCTGAGGTCCCAGGATCATCCAGTACTTCTTGTAAACCCAAGCGGCAGGACCCCTGCCCTCAGTGCTACTTAGTCCTTTACTACCTATACTCCTTACAACAAAGGAGGACCCTTTGATCATGCAGTGGTTACCCAAGCTATAGACTTCCCGGCCCATGGGGACCCAGGCCCAATTCCAGGGCCTGTGTAGGTCAGTTCCCTGATCCATCCTCCCCAGACATGGCAGGGGGGTACTGTTGATGGGTGTGTGGGCGAAGAGATAAAGTTTGGCCACGTGGGCTGGATCATCCACAAGCTTGCATAGGAAGCCCCAGTGATGCAGGACAGAGAGCAGGGTGGGAGGAGAATTGGGAAGGACTATGAGAACCAAGAGCTGTCAGCCTCCATGCCACTGTGTTCTGGGTGGATCCCTAAGAGTCCTGAGAAGTTCAAATTCTGACCCTTCCAGATCATTATGAAATTGTATTGTTCAAGGAAGGAAGAAACGGGCATGTTTTATTTAAATGTTTGCCAGCTTTATCAATTTTAAATGTTAGGCATATAATACATAGACTTCCATTTGTTCTTTTGCCCCATGCTCTACAAATATTAGGGGTGGGCTTATCCCAGTGTCTGGAGTTTGTCAACATTACTTTTATTAGTGATAAAATTCACAAATTATGTGAAAAGTTTCCCTTTGCATGAGGCTGGTCGAACACACATTTTTTGGAAGATCATCCTAGGAGAAAAAAACAGAATCTTGCTTTTTAAAGTCATACTGACAACTCTTGTTCCCATAAAGTTCTATCCACTTGACATCTAAGCCTGTCAATGCTGTAAGAAAAAGTGGCATTAATATTAGAGTTGTCAGTCGGTGATTCAGGCAGTCTTGAAGAGAGATGAATTCCACTAGAGTTGGCTAAGTGTAGATAGAGAGACTTCAGGAGCAGACAGACTTCAACTTGGTCAGAGAATTTGTAGAAGAATTCTCTCATAAGTGGAAGGTTGAAAAAAGAGATGGGAACATTGATGTTCCAGGGAAAAGAATAGAAAAGGAACTAAGAAGAAGATTCTTGGATATAACGCTACTGATTAGAGCTCAAGCATGTGGTCATACCATAAAGAAGGCTGAGCACCAAAGAATTGATGCTTTCGAGCTATGGTGTTGGAGAAGACTCTTGAGAGTCCCTTGGACTGCAAGGAGAGCAAATCTGTCAATCCTAAAGGAAATCAACCCTGAATATGCATTGGAAGGACTGATGCTGAAGCTGAAACTCCAATACTTTGGCTGCCTGATGCGCATGCTTACTCATTTAAAAAGACCCTGACGCTGGGAAGGATTGAAGGTGAGAGAAGGGGATGGCAGAGGACGAGATGGTTGGATGGCATCACCGACTCAATGAACATGAGTTTGAGCAAGCTCTGGGGGATGGTGAAGGACAGGGAACCCTGTCTGCTGCAGTCCATGGAATGGCAAAGAGTCAGACACAACTGAGCGACTGAACAACTTGTGGCCATACCTAGCTGAATGGAAAGCTGGGATATATTGACATATTTCTTGGTGCCAGTCTATAAAAGTTGTCTCTGTGGGCAGAGGAGAATTGGGATTGGAAGCCAATAGCTGTCTGTGCCCCAGAGAAGGTCTCTGGGGTTGTTCAACACAGTGCTCAGATTTCAGCAAGTCACTAAGAGCTCTTGGTGTCATCAGGCCAACAACCAAAAAGAGCCAATGGAAACTTGTATTACTTTTGCTTTGTGGGAGGTCATCTAAACCCAGGAGCACCCCAACATTTGCTGCTGTTTTTCAGGGCTGAGAAGAAGCATTGATCTTGCAGTGAAGGTCCAGGATTCAAGCCACTTAGGCAAAGTATTTCATCTCTCTCGGTTTCAGTTTCCTTATTTATGGAATGGAAATAATAATACCCACCTCGTGGTGGTGATTTTAAGTGTTAAATGAGAAGGGCTGTAAGTTAAAGAGTATAGCACAGTTTTTTGGGCACAGAGTGCTTACTCAAAAAGTGTCTTTTTTCTTCATCTGGGCTTCCCTGGCAGCTCAGATGGTAAAGCATCTGCCTACACTGCGGGAGACTGGGGTTTGATCCCTGGGTGGGGAGGATCCCCTGGAGAAGGAAATGGCAACCCACTCCAGTATTCTTGCCTGGAAAATCCCGTGGACTGAGGATCCTGGTAGGCTACAGTCCATGGGGTCTCAAAGAATCGGACACAACTGAGCAACTTCACTTTCTTCATCTATCTCTTCAATCATTTATTCATTCAGCATGTTTTAATTGAGCTCGTACTGTGTATCAGGTACTCTGGTACATGTTGGAAATAGAATGATGAGTAAGACAGATTGTTCCTAGCCTGGAGGAATTGTGTTATAGTTCAGTGGGAAACAGGCATGAACCCAGTTACTAACTATAAGGAATTATAATAAGTGCTGTGATAGAAAAGTAGAGCATGAAGAGATAATTTATATGAGAAAAGAGATGACTAAGGTCAAGATTAGGGTGCTTATAGAGAAAATGGACAAGTGGATGGATTTGAGAAATAATTAGTATGTAGAACCCATGGCGATAGGGAGAGAGAAGGAGGTAGTAAGAGTGAAGTCTGTGTTTTTGCTTTGAGTGATGGGCAGATGGGATGCCATTTACTGCTGATGGGAAGACGGAAACAGGGATGTATAGGAAAGATGATGGAAGGGTGGTTGGATGGACGAAGGGGCAGGTGGGGTCTGCTTCATTGGAGAGATGGACAAATAAAGGAGTGGATGGATAGAGCAACATAATAAGTCATTTAAGGTCATATAGGGTCTACCTAATAAAATAATTCTGCATTATTTATTTGTGTAGGATTCTTTCTTTTGATCCTTAAAATAATGTTTAGAAATATACTATGCAGATGTTAATATCTCCCTTTTACAGAGGATGAAGCAAAGACACAGAGATGCAAAGTGACTTGGCAGAACCGAAACCCGAGTCTCCAATCCTCCCAGCCTGTACTCTTTCCCTTTCCCATGTGATACATATAAATAATGAGAAAATCATCCATCTAGGTGGGAGAGAGCAGGAAGGTGGGGAATGTGTCTGGACATGCACCTCTAGGGGTAAGGCCTTCGGGAGAAGGGAGGAAAGAGTGGCATCCTTACTCAATAGATTTCTTCCTCTCCTTCACAGGGCCAAGTATTTCCATGGAAAGAAGGTGAATGGAGAGATTGAGATCCGAGTGGAGCAGGTAGGTTGGAGCTAGTCTTTAGTGCTATCACCGTGATCTTTTCTATAGTCAGAGCCATTCCCAGGAGTGTACTTGGCCCCCATCTTCTGAAACTGTAATGAGTAAGGATTACCAGAAAAATCCTGGCTTATACCTGGAAGATGTCTTAAATTCCAGAATTATTTAGTCCAATCGTTTTCAACCTTTCTGTTTTAGCAGCAGAACCTTTATTCAAGAGGAATCTCAAGTAGGAGCCCACTCTAACAAATAGAGACACATAGAGCTTCTCTGGTGGAAATGGGCATAGGCAGCCCAAAAGTCCACTCCATTCTGTCCCACCTCCCTCTATTCCCCACCGCGTTCCCTGAGGGGTCTCTTTGGAAGCACAGTGTAGGCGCACAGTGCGTTCGAGTCCTGGCTCCCTCATTTTCTAGGTATTGGGCAAGTGAGTCTTTCTGTGTCTCATTTTCCTTAGGATTAAATTATTTAAAGCCTCAAAAGAGATTAGAATCTCGACTACTGGCTCTTGTTATTACCACTAGTATCAACATCCACACACTTAATTTTATAGGGAAAAAAAGTACAGGCTTGCCCAAGGTTATAGTGGAAGTCAGTGGTAGAATTAGGACCAGAACTTGTGGCCTCCAGATCTAGGACTCCTCCCCTTCGTTCACTGAACACTTGCTGGGGACCGACTCAGTGCCAAGCGCTGCGCTTGGCCTTAGGAGAGCACATCAGAGCATGGACTCTGGAGCTCACCTCTTGGTTCTAGTCCCAACTGACTTTGTGACATTAGTTCAACAATACTTAAGCTCCCTGAAATTCAGTTTCTTCATCTGTACCACTGGAGTATAGCATCAACTTGATAGGGGAGCCAAAAGGATCATGAGTTAGTCCAAGAGAAGTACTTAGAACAGCACATGGCATCTAATAACACTCAGCAGATGTTACCCATTTATCACCATCCTCATCACCAAAGGCAAACAATAATGTAGAAAAGGTTCTTGCTGTAAGATGAACTCAGAAAAGCACCATAGAAAAATTGAAGGATGTGACCTTTCCAGCACTCTTTGAGTTTGATGTGTTGGAGGAACAGAAAGCTTTTTGAGCATCAAATTTGAGTTGGCTTAATATTAAAACACCTACAGCTTGAATTTCAGTTTTATCCTGTGGCTTTCAAGTCAGTCCAATGTCTACTGGTTTTCCTTCCATGGCAAAGAGCAGGTTATTTTTGTTCACTTGACAAATATTTGTCAAACATCTACTATGCTAGCTAGCTCACATGTGCAGAACAAGGATAGAGAAGCAGAGGCACTGCCCAAATAACTTGTGGTCTAGGAAAGGAGGCAGGATAAGTCTTCACAGAACCCAACACAGGTGGAATCCAGGAAAGAGAGATCCAGACTTAGTGCTGTGGGCACCAGAGGCCACAGCTATTTAGAGGAGTCCGAGTGACTTCAAGGAGGGGGTGGTATTTGAAATGGATTGTAAAGAATGGCTAGGATTTCAACAAGTGGAGATGGCAACAGGAAGAGTGATGAGACTGAATCAGCGTGAGCAGAGGTAAGGGGAGTGGAAGCTCAGGGTGTGGAATGATTGAGGACACTGTCTTCCTCTGGCCCTAACCTATTCATCCTCCCAAATTCTTTCTCTACTATCTACCTGGCATCTTAGCTGGAAACCTGCACAGTCTCCTGGCTGTCTCCTCCTCCCTCCACCATTACACCTGTTCACCACATGCTACAGACTCCACACCCGTTCCCATTGCCAGTTCTTGGCTGAACCATCATCAGCTCTCATTCTATCTTCATAATCAACAGCCTCCTAACTTCATATTTTCATCCACTTCCAATTTATTTTTATACTAAAATCAGGCTGATCTTTCTGAAAAAACAAGGTTTTAAAAGTGTTAGCTTTAAAATTCCTCTCTCGGACATTCTTTATTTGAGCCCTCCCTCTGCAATCTAAATCAGGAAACCTGGTTATTTTACCTAGCACCCCATTTTTTCCTTTCTAGCCCTTATCTGAGTTTTTGACCACATATTTAGATGTGGTATTATTTGCGTGAGGGTAGGGACCATGACTGTTTGGATCTCATTCTGTTAAATAACACAGGGCCTGGCACATACTAGAGCGGAAGCAAATATTTGCAGAATGACTAACTGATGGATTCCACAGATTCCAGTCTGCTTGTCAGTTTCCAATAGAGATAAATTGCTGTTCTTTAATCTTCCCTCAAAAATCTGAGTTTTCCATAAACCATCTGGTAAATGCTCAGTTGCTAGCTATCTCACTCCATTTGTGAAACCCCAGGAACATGTTTTAATTTTGCCCTTTATCTCATTGCTGCTTCTGGCCCAACTTATGGGTGTAAATCTGTTAGCAGGAGCATCAGAGAGAGTTGTCCTAAGAATAGCTCACCCAGGACCCTGGGGACACTCAGCCAACCTCTAAAGGCTACAGCCACCCTGGAAAAGTTGGCTAATTTAGAATCATCTTGATTTCTCGTCATCTGCCTCTGTGACAATCAGAAGGCAAATTAGCCAAGAGGCCAATTAGCAGTCATTTGGGCATTTTTCCCTGGAAGATATGCCTTCTTTAACTCATCCTAGAGTCTGAATTGTTTGTCTTTTCCCATCTGGATCGATGGGTGGGTCACATAAGCAACCCCCTAGGCATCTCACATGCATCCTTTAGCACTTAGGAGAAGTCTTAGGATGGAAGCCACTGTTTAGTCTGAGTTGGCCTCACATTTTGGAATTCTGTCTCCCAACTAAGGGCCAAATTAACCAGATAATTGCACTGTCTGGGTTTTGCTGGACAGAGCACATGAGTTAGTTGTGGTTGGCCTAGAGGAAACCTCCGCCCCTTCTCTCCACCCTTTTTCCCCCAGTTCAAAAACTGTTTGCCTCAGCTTTTGCAGAGCCAGGAATCAAGAAACCCTGGGGAGGCCAGGGGGGGAAACTGCCTCATGTTGCATCCCATTACCCAGAATGCCCTGCGGGCTCTGCAGGGCCTCTCAGCAGTGTCCTCGCAGGGCCTGAGAGCTTCCGGCCAGGGTGGCTGGCATGCCAAGCTCTCTTCTGTTTATATTTGAGGCAAAGGGTCTTTTTCTCCACAGGTACAAGTCACCCCTCTGTGGGACTCAGCAGTGAGGTTGATGAATGGATTAATATCAAGTAGACTCAAAGTTCTGAGACTAGCGAGCTAGTACTTGGTGGGGCAGAGCCTTGGGCTTCATTCTTCTTTAATAAAAAGACCAAAATTATAGTAGTCTTTCCTTGGTGTTAATTGAGGTACCAAAGCCTAAGTGGCAGTGCATTGCTCCAGCAGATGGAAAGAAAGGCAGGAGAAGGTGAAGATCCTTCTCCTCTGACTTACATAGGAATGCCCGAGGCTCCTTTGGAGTCCTGTCCTTGCATGATATTGGAGTTGAGATGGGCTTCGGTAGATGCATATGGATCCTAGGGAAGGCTGTTGGTTGAAGTTCTGTTCTTCTTCTCCCCTTTATATATTTCCTCAACTTTGTCTGCTGGGAGCAAAGATGGAATTTCTCCATTAAAAGAAATTAAGCACTTAAGATCATCATGTATATATTTTTCATACCTACATCAGCCTACCATCCACAATTCTTTCTGGGGCAGTCCTTCTTAGAGTGGACTGTAACTGTAGATATTGTCATAAAGGCTGTGTTATATTTCAAGAAATAATTGTCAGTGAGATAAAGAAGTGGAGGTTGGATGTTAGTTAATTCAGTTTTGTGGATTGGTAACAGGTTGGACATGACCCCCATTAGGAAATGACTACTTGATAGTAATTCACCTTGAGGGAAATACATCTAACACTTTGCCAAAGAGCTCTGCCCTTGGCTGTGTTCTACATCTCCTTCTCAACTGTGATTTATCGAATTACATTTGCTGATGAATTGAGGTTAATGGGAGAGAGAGTATGCTGGATTAAATTTGATATGATCCAACTGAGTAAGGATACAATATAAGATCCTATTCAAAAGCTCAGTGGAAGAGGAGCAGGACTGGGGAGACTTAACTTATTAACATCTCATGAGGAGAAAACAAGACCTAAAATTTGAGTTAAACAAATTCTTAATATTTGTGAGAAGAAGTATGGTGTGAAAGTTAGGACTGTGACTCTAGTGTAAGATATACTGGGGATGGAGCCTCAGCTCCATCATATTTTAGCTGGATTGACCTTCCACTTATAGCATCACTAAGTATTAGCTTCTTCCTATGAAAAATGAGGATAATAATTTCTACCCCCTAGAGTTAATGTGTGGAGTGCATTAGTCAGTATAAGTCATATGCTTGGCATCATTTCTGACATGTATATTAAGAGCTCAGTAACTGTAGTTATGGGCTTCCCTGGTGGCTCAGTGGTAAAGCATCTGCCAGCCAACGCAAAAGACGTGGGTTTTATCCCTGGGTTGGGAAGATCCTCTGGAGAAGGAAATGACAACCCACTCCAATATTCTTGCCTGGGAAATCCATGGACAGAGGAACCTGGTGGGCTATATATAGTCCATGTAATGGCAAAAGAGTTGGACAGAACTTAGTGACTGAAACAACAACCATGGTTATGGTTGTTACTCTCCCAAAACCTGATGCATTATCAGGCTGCATTATCAAAGTACAGCATTTGGAATTCAGGAAAGTGATGGCACACACACACTCATTGTTTTAGCCAGACTCCAGTGAGAGATCCAGTTGTACCATCACAGCTGGAGGGGATAGCAGCAGCCTGGAATGCCTCATGAAAAGAGCGGCTGCAGTGAGAGAAGCAAAGGAGATCAGTGTAAGGAACTGGGGATGCTTAGTCCAGAGAAGAGAGACTTTGGTAGAACTCATTGTACTCTCTGCAAATATTCACCACCTGAATGAGTGGTTGAAAAGAGTTAGAGCTACCATATGTTGAGTATTAATACTTATAAGGTAAGGATAAATGCTTTTTGCTGTTGAGATGGATACTATCATTGTCTGTATCTTACAAAAACAGGCTCAGGTGGA